CAGTCCCTTATCAACAGGTGCGCGGCTACTAAGCTTTAGTTCATTTCCTGCATGTGGCTGTTTTCTCGTGGATCAAGGATTCTTTTCACTTCTTTCTCCCATCGTATTTCGTTTTCTCCTCTGTTTGTTTCACGATCCGTGATGGACAAGGCTACTCTCTTCCAGAGTATCGGCTTAAGTGAGCAGAAAGCGCAAGAAACATTGAAGAATGACGCGCTTTCCAAACGGCTTGAGTCTATCATAAATTTGGTGAGTACAGTTTACCATACAATTTAATTAGCTAGAAAATGTTTTTTTCCGGATATTATAGAATACAGGGGTAGCTAGGTGCAGCATGTTTGTATGTGTGACAACATTGTCAGTTTGTAGAGTTCAACACAACAGGCAATTTCTATATAGTTAATAAGTAAGATGCAAATATAAATGGCCTGTTACAAATACAGTTGCTGATGCAATATCTTGTACATTGTAGTAACATTTGAGGATAGTCTAGCGTTATTTCCGGCCCGCAATTTGTCGTTATTTTTGTAGTGTTAACGTTACTTACATGTATGTAGCTTTTGCATTGTGTAGAGAAACAGTCACCAGAAATCGTTCAAGTGTTTAAATTATCTTCAAAATTAAGTGCTTAATTATAATACTTCCTCTAGCCTCTACGCTTGAATAGCCTTCTTGCTAAAGGTTTTATTGTGGTGCTGTTTGTTTATAACAGATGAAAGAAAAATCTGCAGATGTCATTGAAAAACCCACTGGTGTACTGTTGTACTCATTAGCGAGCAGCAGTGTCAAAGAGGACTGGCAGATCAAGTTTGTTTCTGAGTATATTGCAGACAGGAAACTAGCTTCTTCAATACAGTTGACNAAACCCACTGGTGTACTGTTGTACTCATTAGCGAGCAGCAGTGTCAAAGAGGACTGGCAGATCAAGTTTGTTTCTGAGTATATTGCAGACAGGAAACTAGCTTCCTCAATACAGTTGACAGGTAAGGTGCATGCGTGGCCTAAGTTCAAAGTTTGTGAAAGAGGTGTCTGAGAGAGATTCCACTGGGGTGATCCATGTGGAACAAGTAAATGGGAGACATTTCTTGCTCTCTCTCTTTCCCTCCCACGTAGCATCCTGCCATCTGTCCCTCCCTCTGTCTCACCTTCTCCCTCATGTCTTTCTTGCACTCTTTCCTTCTTCCTCTCTCACCCCCTTTTCCTTCTTTGGCTCCTTCGTCCTTCCTTTTCTCCACCCCCTCCATCCAACTGTCAGTCAGTCAGTCAGTCTGTTGGTCTGTCTGTCTGTCTGCCTGTCTGTTTGTCTAGCCATCTGTCCATCTGTCTGTCCATCTGTCTATCCATCTATCCTACTGTCCATCTGTCTGTCCATCCATCTTTCTGTCCCTTTCTCTGTCTGTCTGTCCATCTGTCCATCAGTGTCTGTCCATTCATTCATCTGTCTGTCTGTCTCTCCATCAATTTATCTGTCCCTCTGTCCACCTTTCTATTAGCCAGTTTGTCTTTTTGTCTGTCTGTCTCTCTGTTAGTCAGTCATGTAAATGTTAGTGAAGTCATTTATTAATTATTTGTTAATTGAATTAATCTCATTGCTTAGCGGCTGTGGAATATATGAAGACTAATCCAGTTTTGCCAGTCGATGTTGCTTCTTTTGAAAACAGCTGTGGCATTGGAGTGACTATCACACCTGACCAAATTGAAGATTGTGTAAGTACATTTTTTGTAGATGAAAGTGCATGGCTTGTAAATGTTCCAAAGTGTTTTTTTTCTTCATCCTGACCTAAGAAATGCAATGCCCTTTGGGAGAAATATGTACTCATAAATAATAATTAGGGTCAGCCACCTCCCTTCAACAGCTAGTTCTGTAGTGGCCACATCTTCGACCCAGTTGAGAGATTTGCTCCTTTTTTCTTCTTTTCTTTTTTTATTGCTAAACACATAATTACTTGCATTGCCCTACTCTACTCACAACACGACACAATACTTAACCTACTTACAATGCACTACATTATTGTTATTATTATTATTATTATTATTAGTATTATTTCTAATGCTTTTACTGTCTTACAAGCATCACTTACAATACATTAAAAAAAAAAACAAAAAAAAAACTACTTACAATACTTCGCGTTACCTTACATACTTACAATATGTAATAATTACTTATTATGACAGATTTGCTCTTACCGGTACTTTAACCTCCTAGCAATGGCCACCTCTCCACAGTGGTCAGTTAACTCTGTTCTTTGGGTGGCCATTGTAGAGAGGTTTGACTGTAATAAGTAAAAGAGTCTGTCTTCTTGTTTCTCAAGATGATTATAAAGGCATCCACTTGTCTATTATTATCTACTAGTTAGTTAGTATCCCATCTGGGAAGAAGAGGTGTCTTCATGATGCAGGAATCTCACAGTTGATCACAGGCCTAGGATCAAACTTTACTAAGCTTGTGTTCTATGTATCTAGACTAAATTGGTTAAGACTTGTAAAGTAAACTTTAGTTACTTAATAGTTTATTTTCTATCTCTAAGGTTGAAGAACTTATTAAGAAGCACAAGGAAGAGTTGTTGA